AGACAGGGTCTCATTATGTGTTTCAGGCTGGCCTTGAACTCAAGTAGGTAGCCCAGTGTGGCTTCATAGTGATTTTTGTGTCAGCCTCCAGAGGGCTGGAAATACAAAAAAAAAAAAAGTGTTTTTTTATGACATGCCTGTAATCTCCGCATTTGGGAGGCTGAAGCAGCATGATTACTATAAGTCCAAGGCCAGGTGAGGCAACAGTGAGTTCAAGGCCAACCTGGACTGCGTAAGGACACTCCCTCTCTAAATAAATTAATTTTCAGCAACTGCAGGTTTATGCCTGTTTTGTATTAGCAAGTTCAGGGGCTGGGCTATACCTAGTCTCAAAAAGAAGAAAAAAAGTGGCTGTAGTTACCAACTAGTCAACCAGGAATAGCTTAACAGAAATACAGCCTCCTTCCAGAAACTCTCAAATCTTCAGCTTCCTTCCAGGTTGGCCACATGACTAACTCCCAGAATGGCTGTAGGTGTCTATCTGTACCATTCAGAGTGAGTAATGGTTCTAGAGCTAAAGTCTAGTCAGGCATGACAGCACATGCCCATAAGCTACTCAGGAAGCTGAAGCAAGAAAGTCCCAAGGGGGCCGTGGAGATAGCTCAGTAGAATAAGCACTTGCCTGGCAAGTGCAAGGGCCTGAGTTCAATCCCTGGTTCCGCAAAAAAAAAAGGTCACAAGTATGAGGCCATCCTAAGCAATTTAGCAACTTTGTCTCAAAATAAAAAAATAAAAAGAACTAGGAATGTAGCTTAGTGGCAGAGTCAGCATGTGCAAGGTCCTAGATACAATCCCCAGTACTAGAAAAACAAAACCAACGAGGCATAAGGTGGCAGCAGTACTGTGACCACATCAGGCTGATGCTGGAAAAGCCTGGTTCTGATAGCTCCTGCAAGCTGTCTTCCATCAGACAACAACCTACTCTGTGAATCTTAAGTCTAACGTCTTTTACTAACCACACCTGCAGTCATCTACCTGATTAGTAAAGCCAGGCTGCTAAATCAGATGACACAGCCTTACACCACAGGAAAACTGGAGATTGCTTTGGCCTTTTTTATTTTGAGACAGGATCCCACCTAAGTACTCCAGGCTGACCTTGAATTCAGTATGTCACCCTGCTGGCCTTGAACTCATGGGGAGTTTCCTAAGCATTGGGATTCTAAGTGAGCACCACCACACCCTGGCAACTTTTGCCTTTTTAGAACAACTGACTTTACATTTATTAGCTTAGGTACTTCTATGATTTGGGGCAGAGAGGGGAATAAAAGAGGGATGAACATCAGGTAAGGCCTGTGGGGGCCAGCATGTCAAGCAGGGACTGAGAAATGTGTGAGGTTACCAGTCAAGTCACTTTGCTCCACCTATCCTCCCTCAAGCAGCGGGGGCAACCAGTCTGGGCCAGTCAAAGCTGCCTCTTCCTTCTGCATGAATCTGCCAACAGCTACCAGGGAAGGATATTGGATCCCTGGCAGCCTCTACCAATGCCACAAGTGGCCAGCTGAAATGTTCCAGAACACACAAACACACACAAAAAAATCACACAATGCAAAAATTAGAAATAATATTTATTGTTTCAAAGACACACTCATGAGAAAAGAGTATGCAAAAGTAGCCTTCCTATACCACAGGCTTTTGTAATTATCCCAGTAGTCTGGGACTGTCATTGTGTAGGAGGGAAAGTTCTCCACCTACTCCTGAGAAATTATACTACTCTAGCTTTGTTTTTCATTATAGGTTTGTATTAAAAAATTAAAATCTGATGAGTTAACAGTATCTGTTCTCAGGCATATCCACCTTGTCCACTTGGATAGACAGATGTAGGCTTTAAATCCACATCCCTGTGTGTAGCCCAGAATTAGATGGCACTCTGGAAATCAGCTGATTTTCCTGACTAGAGTTGGAAAAAGACCTCAGTTTCTGGGTGAAAATATGCATTTCATTGAGAGGATGAGATTACTTCTTTAGCAAAGAGTAGTGGGGCCAGCAGGTAAGAAGCACTGGCCACAGGTGGTATCTGGTCAAAAAGCTAGTTATTCCATCTCCAAATCCTTTGAGTGAATTCAAGTTTCAAAATGGTATACCAAGTCATAGAAGGCAGACATCATTAAGGCAATAATTTTAGTCCATGCTCAGAACTCTGATCCCACCACCTCCTCCCTTCACCCTTCAGGACTGCCTGGTCTTGTCTACTGCATCTCCTCAATAAGTATCCATCATCCAGAAGCCTTCAGCAGCCTTCAGCTTTACAAGTTGGGGGCAAGCCAGTTAAGGAACTTCATGGCAACTTCAAACCCAAGGAAACAGGCCTAAGATGGGATAGGGAGGAAAAGAAAAACAAACAGAAATGTGACTCTTCATAGATACCACAGACAACATTGTGCTTGGCTGACTCTGTCAAGACTAGAACCCTTCCCTATCCCAGTCCCACTCCAGATCACAGAAGCAGACCCTCTCATTCCTTACAAGAGAAAAATGGATGTTCCATAGCTGCCTGGGTCTGATGGCCAGGTCAAAAAATCAAACTCCTGACCTCAGAGAACCCTCAAGGCAAATCTTTCTGACAGTTTCAGGGAAGTTAGCAAATACAGGGGCTCTGGCTTACAGTGAGATTTAGGGGAGAGATGAGCTCCCAGTACAATCCCAAGAGCATGCAAAACCCAGCCCACACACACCCTTGCCCAAGACCAAAAGAAAAATCACAGCTCCTACTTACTGCATTGGCTGGGAAGGCTCGGATCATCACTGCATTAAACCCTTTGTACAAGGATGTGATTCCTTCTTTCTGGATCAGCTCTCTCAGCACATCTCTGAAACCATTAGGGTATTTTCCAGGAGGTGCTGTGGGGCAGAACAGCTTTTTAAAGCTTCCAGAAACTTTGTGACTTGACCATAGCACCTCACATGGAATAAAATGATAGCCTTTCTGTAGAGTCAGGGCCAGCACTAGGGAGAGGACACCTCACAGGTCATCTATACTTAGTCCAAGACAGCATGATTTACTCTGTAGCACACACACACACACACACACACACACACACACAAGTCTGTATTATTTGTGCCAAGGGAATATGTAAAAGGAATGAAGAATTAAAACAGGGTAGAGACAGTTCAGCAGCACAACGCCTACCTGGCAAGCACAAGGTCCTGAGTTCAATCCCCAGGACAAAAAAGCAGGGAGGGGCAGGAGGAGGAGGATGAGAAGAAGAGCAGGAGGAGGAAGAAGAAGAGGAGGAGGAGGAGGAAGAGAAAGGAAGAAACAGGGTAGAGGGTGTAGCTCAATGGTAGAGTGTTTGCCTAGCATGTATGAGGCCCTGGGTTTGATCCTCATCAAAGCACACAGAAGAATGAAAACAGCATTCTTTTTGGGGGCAGGGGTGGATTTCTGGTTTGACTTCATATCTTACTTTATAGTTAGGCTAATATGAAAAAGAGTCTGGGGTTCTTAGAATTGAGGCAGAAGTTTTTCAGACAATCTTTGGATGCTGCCATCGAAAATATCCCGAGGTCTTAAGAGCTCTGCACCCCTTGGGTAACCAGTGTAAAACCTACCCTATCCAAATCCACCTCACTCACCAGTCTGGAAGCGAGACTTGAGGACATCTGGAGGGATTGCCACAGCCCAGTTGAAGATCCCTGCAATTCCCCCAGCTACCAGGATTCGAGGAGCACTGAGGTCACTGACACTGCAGAACACCCAACCAGAGTCCCAGTCAAACAAAGACTGAGAGAAAGGTATTCACCCTTCCGTCTCTCCTTGCCAGATAGGGAAGTTATTGAAAGGAAAAGACTGGCTAGAGCTGCAAGTACCACACTGCAGCTGGTACTTGTTGGGGAAGAACCCGCCCACCTATTTCACATACTTGTTACACTATGTGAACACAGAGTAAAAGAAGTTAGCTAGACCTCAGCAGCCACAAGAATAAAACATACACAGAGAAAGAACAAGTCTTGCTTCTATGTATTTCCTGACCCACTCACAGAAAAGGACCACCCACTCATGAGTGGAAAAAGTGGTTTAATAAGTTACAAAGTTCTTACCTTTTTCCCTCTGGAGTGAAAATATTTTTCAGCCACTCATATGTCATGAAATACATCCCACTGGCTGGAACATCTGTTAGTGTCAAGAGGTGAGAAAAGCCAAAGGGATAAATTAAGTCTATAAAATCCCTACAGAGTCAAGCTTGGCACTGGACCACTCAAAGTTTCATGAGTTCCTTAGCAGCCACATCTGTTTTACAGTCAGCACTTTGCAGCTATCAGAAGCTGCAGTAGGCCAAGCACTGTGAGCATGAACACATATGATATTTGATCTTTAAAGTCCCTTCTAGGTCACCACTGACAAGCTCACTCCAGAAGATATAATCATAGTTAATGCATCTGACCTTCCTCTCAGCTCCCACCTCAGAACAAGAATGGAACTATCTCTTCATCTCCTACTTTCACCTTAGGAAAATCTATTTGTTAAACCAGGGAGAGTGGCAGAGGGTACAGCCCAATGGGAGAGCACTTCATATGCTGAGAGGCCCTGGATTCCCTCCCCAGCCCTGAAAAAAACACAGGAGATCTCCACTAGCGCTAAGTCACACTTTCTTCTCACTTGTCCCCCTAGCCATGATTTCTATTAGCCTGTCCCTCCAACTACCAGTGTCATGACTTTCACTCTAAGGACACTAAGGAACAAGGGTAGGGTCCTTTCATTCTTACCTGTGTCCACAATGCCTAAAAACAGAACACACACTGCAAGGCCTGTCAGAGCTGTGGCGTGTACCAATACTAATCTGGCTGTGTAGGCAAGGCCCTCTATTGCAGAGTCTCAGATGACTTCCCATATGCCCTTGGTGGATAGAGTGCCTCAAAATTTACCTCTCATGAGGGTGAGCACAGTGCCTTTGTAAATGCCTCGGATTCCAGACTCCTGGTACAGCTTTTTTGCACAGTCCAAGGTTCCATTGTATTTGCTTTCCCCTGAAGAAGCCTGAATCTGGAATGGAGAAGGTCATTAGATCTAAGTTAACAGACCCAGAGGTTATAAGAGAATACAAAGTGAGCATGGTCACTAGGCATTAGACCCGTAAAAGGCTTGAGCGTCAAATAAATGTATTTGGAATACATGATATTGGGAAAGGCACTATGAAATAAGGTTAACCAGGTATAGTAAGTGGTCTCAGCACTCTGAAAGACTGAAGCAGGAGAATAGCAAGATAGTAAGACCCTGTCTCAAAAAATCAGAAGGATGTAGCTCAGTGCAAAGGCCCTGCATTCAATCCCCACTGTGCAAAACAAACCATACATCCAAACACAGGAATACCTAAAAGAGAACCATCTGGAAGATATATTTTTTGGAAGATATATTTTAAAAAGACAAGTACATTAGCCATTTGTTTATTCCACAAATATCTATTGAATGCAAAATTCATTCCAAGCCTAGCTGGTCATGAGGCTTGGTAAAGAAAAGGTGAACAGAACTGGGTGTGGTAGTGCACACTTAGAATCCAAGCCACTTAGAAGGCTGAGGCAGGGGGCAGGGAGATAAGATTGCCTGGCAAACACAAGGACCTGAGTTCAATCCCTGGTTCTGCCAAAAAAAAAAAAAAAGAAAAAGAAAAAGAAAAAGCTGAGGCAGAAAAATCACAAGTTCAACCTAGGTTAGGCACCTCAACAAAACTCTGCTTCAAAATTAAATTTTTTTTGTCTTTTTGAGACAGGGTCTCACTGGGCTGCCCTTGATCTCACTTTGCAGCCTAGGCTGGTCTCGAACTTGTAATGATCCTCCTGCTTCAGACTCCTGAGTGCTGGGATTACAGGCATATGCCACTATGCCCAGCCTCAAACTTTTTTTTTTTTTTTTGCGGAACCGGGGATTGAACTCAGGCCCTTATGCTTGCCAGGGAAGCACTTATTCCACTGAGCCATCTCCCCAGCCCCTCCAGCCTCAAACTTAAATACAATTTTTAAAAGTTGGAAATGTAGCTCAGTGCTAAAGAGCACTTACCTAGCATGTATGAAGATCTAGGTTCACTTAACAGTACCAGGGGGCAGGGGGAAAAAAAGGACATGACAAGTGAACAGGAAATTACATTAAGCACTCTGAATGCCCAGAGAGAAGCCCTGTAAAGAACCAGAGGACAGCCAAGAGGAGACCCCTACCCCAAACCTGGAGCTTCATGACCTAAGATTGAAGAGCCTGAGGAGAGGCAGCTGTAAAATCAGTAAAGATCTGAAAGTAAGAGAGCCCCATTCAGGGTCCACAGCAAGTATAGAGCCACAAAGAATCAGGCAGGGGCCCCAGCAAAGAGCATTTAAAGCCAGAGAGGTCAGCTTTCACAGTTCTAAGGACAAACACAAAAAATAAACATACAAGCAAAATAATTTTTTAAGATGGTAGGATTAAACAGTTAAAAAACATGGAAAAGGATCTTACTCAAAATAGCAAGATATATGTGTGTCAAGCAATAAACTGTATAACACTAAAACACCTTTGAGGAATATAAAAGAGATGAATAATAAGGGAGTTCTAATTCTCAAGCAGGGTACAGTGTCATTCACCTTTAATGGCAGCAGTCAGGAGGCTAAGACAGGAAGATCACTGAGTTCAAAGCTAGACTAGGCTTCAAAATGGAGATCCTGTTACCAAACCAAACCAAACTACATCAAATAGTTTATCATTGTTTGGTTGGGTGTTTTTTTAGATAGGGTCTCTCTGTGCAGCCCACGTTGGCCTTAAACTCACTATGGAGCCCAGGCTATCAAAGTCATGAGGATCCTCCTGCCTCAGCCTAAGTGTTGGGATTACAGACAGATGCCATCACACCTAGTCTTTTTTTCCCCCATGAAGTCATAATTTTGGGTTGGGCATGGTGGTACACACCTGTAATCCCAGCATTCTGCAAGGTATGGCAGGAGGATTGCCTGAGTTTGAAGCTAGCCTGGGCCATACAGTGAGTTCAAGACCAGCCTGAAGTACAGAGCAAGCCCCTGTCTCAATAATGTAGACTAGAAAAGTTTTCTATTTATTTATTTATTTAGAAAAGTTTTCAATTTAAAAGGGGTCAATTTATCTTTCTTTCTTTTTGGTATCAGGGATCAAACTCAGGACCTTGTGCTTGCCAGGCCTGCTGAACTATTGCCCTGGCCCTTTTTTTTTTTTTTTTTTTTTTTTTTTTTTGTATTTTTGAGACAGGGTCTCACTATGCAGTTCACTACACCTGGCTATTTTTCTAATAATAAACTTAAAACAATGTTAGCAGGACTGGGGAGATGGCTCAGTGGAATAAGCGCTTTCCTGGCAAGCGCAAGGACCTCAGTTCAATCCCTGGTTCTGCCAAAAATAAATAAATAAACACAAATTTAAAATATAAAATAAAATGTTAGTGATTCTTTTTACATAATTTCTCCAAATCCTCCTGGTGTGTGAGCTAACTATGTCTAAGAAAGAACAGGAAGGCCCATGTGACAGAAGATAATGGAGTGACTCACACTGGGAAGCCACAGAGAACTGGGTATGTTTGGCTGGTGAGATGGCTCAGTGGTCTAAAGCACCTACTTAGAACAAGCTTAGCAAAGCACAGGGACCACGGTTCAATCCCCCAGCACCACATGCCAGC